AAGGCAGCAGTTGGATCACTCATGTATGCAATGGTTGGCACAAGGGTGGATCTTGCTTATGCGGTGAGTGTCGTAAGTCAACACATATCAAAAGCAGGACCAATTCATTGGGCAACCATCAAGAGGATCATGAGGTACTTGAAAGGCACTTTGGACTTCAAATTGTGCCTCGGAGGTAAAAGTATTGCTTTGCATGGTTATTGTGATGCGGATTGGGCAGGAGATGTAAATGATAGGCGGTCAACAACGGGCTATGTATTCTTTGTTGGAGTGGGAGCAATTTCATGGAATTGCAAGAGGCAACCCACAATTGCAAGGTCCACAATGGAGGCGGAGTACATGGCAGCAAGCCATGGTGCAATGGAAGCAACATGGTTAAGGCAAGTTTTGGAGGACATTGGACTTGTGCAATTGGAAGAAACTCTATTGAATTGTGACAATCAAGGATGCCTTGTTTTTGCAAAGAATCCAAAGCATCATTCAAGAACCAAGCACATTGACATTCAACATCACTTTATAAGAGAGAAGATTGAAATGGGAGTGATTGACTTGAAGTATTGTGCAACAGAAGATATACTTGCTGATTTGTTAACAAAGGCATTGGTCAAAGATAGACATCATATGTTGACAAAGGCATTAGGTTTGAAGGGCTTTGACAATTAGCAAAGTGGGAGTGTTGAGGTAAAAGATAAAGATGAATAGATAATAGTTAAAGCAGAATAAGTTACCTCGTAAAGGATATTACCTTAGGTAAGTTGCTAATGGTCAAAGGCTTGACTCTTGGCATATAGAAAAAGCATCCTATGGACATAGGATGCGGTCAAAGACAAAGAGTCAAAGTCAAGAGGATAAAGTGTGTCCTAGGGAATATCCAAAGAACTAGGTAAGAGTAATTAGTATATGGCATAGGATACCCTCGTGGTATGTAAGATGCCATAGGATCCTAGGATCCTTGGATACCCTCGTGGTATGAGCCAAAGGATCCAAGGAGCATATGTGTAAAAGTCAAATGGTGGAAGAAGTCCTTTTAGGGCAGCAACCACCACCTATAAGTAACGAGAGTTGGAAGAGAGAACCATCTCATTCCACACTTCTCTTATGTGCAACCTTGCTGATTTCTACTTACTTGTGTTATGCTTATAGTGTTCTTTTCTCAATAGAAATTGTCTTAATTTATTTAAGTATGTATATATATATATATATAAATATATATGTTTAAATTTATCTTCTACTTACATTTTTTATTTATTAGAAACTTATAGAAAAAAAAAGAACTATCTATATAAAAATATAATTTTTACTTTTATCTTTTATTTTTTTATCAAAAACAAATATAATGAAAACGATGTTATACATATCTTATTACAAATATCTTATTAAAAATTTTATAAAAAATTTTAAGGAAAAAAAACATTAAATAATTAATTTCAAGCTTTAGATGAATTATGTTTAAAATAAGATTTTTATATAACTTAAAAATATAGAATAAAAACGATTCCTAGATAAATTATCAAAATATGATATAATAGCCTTGAATTTATTTTAACATCTTATAAATATTGGAATGGTTTTTAGATTATATTTCTAGATAAATTAGTAATTTTGGAGTATATATTAAATAATTAAAAAAAAAATTACCAACTTTTTGAAGTAATTGAAAAAAAATTGAAGGAAGATTTAAGGATTTTGTGAAGTTCATAGGCTGATTGGATGTTATAAAATATCATAATCAAATCAAAGATGCAAAGTTAAGTAGGTTTATTTGGAGATTGTAGTAAAATCAAAAGCTAGTTAGAAGTTGGGTGTATTAGTATCATAGAGGTCATAGCACCTTATAAGTTGGTAGAAAGATAAGACCAAGACTTCAACGACCTTCTAAGAAATCTTTTACACCACTTGTGAGTCTTACTAAAGTTAAAACCTTGTCTATTTATTCAAATCATCTTTTAAGTAACTTTGAATTATCTAACTATTTTAATTAATTAATTAATTTTTTATTTTTATTTGATTAAAACTTTATTTTATTATTATTAAATAAATAAATAATATCTTTATTGTATATATATTTATAAAAATTTATTATTTTAAAAATAAAAATATGTCAAGTAAAACATATCTTATTACAAATGTTTTTTTTGGTACTATTAGAAGAATTTTTACAACAAAAAAATAAATTAAATTAAAAATTTAAATATTATAATTTAGTAATCTCTAACTATATAATTGAATTGTCTAAAGAAGGATGTGAAGAAAAGAAATTCGACTTTAATTGAAAATTAAACTAACATTTTATAGCAAATTATAACAACAAATCTCTCTTTTTTATAACACATATACAAGACTTGATTTTGCAAGAATGCCAAGAAAAAAGAAATTTTTCATTCTAAATCTCATTCAAAAAAATATATCATAATTTCAAATTTACCACCTTAGGCATTTCAAGATAAATCTAATAGTTCTCAGTTTATATACAACATCTAGGCTCCATTTATCCGATATTATAAGGCACCTGATACTATATTATGTGATATATGGTTAAATTTTCTTTTAGTATAAACGTATATTCAAATTCAACATAGCATTGCAATAAAATTTCTTAAAAATGATCAGAAACAGACACCAAAATATTTTATTCTTGTGTCTAATTCTAACAATTATAAATTTATTAATTAGAAACGAAATTGGTACTTGTTTTAGGTTTTTTAAGTTCAGTAAAAATATTAATATATATTAAGTTTAAATATATATTTTAAATATTTTTTCCTCTAAATTAATTAAACAACTCTAATGTCCATTAAGGTATCGCTTTCTCATTAACAATAATTCTCACAGATGTTCCTTTCTAAAATACTCTTATATTCTTATAATTATTATTTGAAATATGTATTTTTTCATATATACATATATATATATATATATATATATATATATATATATTAAAAACTACCGTGGATAAATATGTCAATACTTAGTAGTATATTTTACAAACTAATTTTATTATTAAAATTAAAACATATTAATTATCATCATATAGTTAATAATATGTATCTTATTTAAGTGTAGAATTAGTTTTAAAATATTATCATAGATTTTTATAATATTTTTAATATTGTATTATTTAAAAGATGTTTGATTGATAAAATTGTAAACATATACAAATAAGTTAATAATCTAAACATACTATTAATAAAATAAAACTTGCTCATCTACTCTATCTAATTAAAATCAATAATAAATGGTAGTATTGATTTATGGAGTGTGTGAGCTAAGTTTTACTACCATATTATAGCAATTTACTTGTAGTAAAACGTTTGCAGTCAATTGATTAATGAAAATTTGTAATTCTGTTACTACAGTATATAAAAGAATTATTCGTTCATTATCTTATTAGTTCTTTTGAAAACAATTTTAAAAAACGATTTAAATTTATCACATTAAATATCTGCTACAACTATTGTTTATCATACCTCTTTTCTTAATAAACATGAATCTTACCAATATTATTTTTTATTATAATATTGTGCTATCTAATTTCTGTATATATTAAACTATGATTTAAATGAAAATAAAAATAAAGCAATTAATATGTATTATTATTAAATAAATTAGTTTTATTAATTTAGTACTAAATTTAGTTTGAGGAAAAAGCCTAAATATAATATAGAAGGTAAATATATTTTTTAAATTTTTTGTTTTCAAAAGTATTGTAATCTTATCATGTATATAACTTTTTTTAAAATGTTCGACTATTTTTTATTCTTTTAGAATTTTAAACTATATGTATATATAAAGTCACATATTTGACACAATTTTATTTTCTTGGTTGAAGTATAGTTTCTATATGGAACAAATGCCACATTTTTTTATTTTTGAAGTTGAATGATTTTTGAACTTGGATATACCGTGAGCTTTTACATAATTGTATTTTTAGTAATTTCATAAATCAGTATTATTTTCACGAGTAATGATATAAGATTTGAAATAATTTGTTTGATCAACATGTTCATATAACCTTACAGAAAATTTAAAATCTTTTTCATGTTATAATGATTATGTTACAGTGGTTTTTTTTATTCTGTTATGTCTCTCCCCTCTCCCCAAAACACTTATATATATATATATATATATTCAAACACACACACACACAAGAAAATACAATAAATTTAGAATATTCAATGTATATTTGTCACATCATCTTCTATTCCACAGTTTTTTTTGTTTGCTTCAAAACTACAATACACCTTAGGATTGTACTTCGGATGTCAAATAACATTCACATTCCCGTAAGAAAATCATAATGGAATTTATTTTATCTTTAATAGTCTTGAAACTCAAAGTGGAGACTTTTAGTTTAGAATTCAATGTAAAAATCACACAAATCACGTTGTCAAATTTCAATGAATGTTTTTGCAAACCAATAAACAATATTCTTAAATTATTTCATAATTACAACACAAATCACTGAAATCTGAGATGTCAATCCTTACAATTCTCAAGGACAAAGTGTCAAAAAACTTATCTTGAACAATGACTTTTCTCACCCATGATAGTATTATGATATGGTTTCTTGCACCAACCAATTTATTTATTATTTATTTTTATCCTTATTATCAACACAAAATGGGCTCTATACCCGTGTGCTAAGGGTTTCGAGGTATCAAACCCAACGGTGACTATATGCTATCTTTAACCGTGGGAAGTTGGGGACGGTTTCACCCAGCTTTAGGGCACCCGCCGTTACTTCGGGTGCCCTAAAGCCCCAGGGAGGCATTGCATCCAATTTTGGGCACGGGAATAGGAAGGGGCCTCGTACGGTGAAGGGGCACTGCCGTGCTCGGGTGAGGGATCTGCCCCTCGCGGGGGACTCGCGTCGGAAGGCGTCGTCGGCAATTCAGCAACAGCAGCGGCAGCGCGCGGAGGGGCAACTGCCCACGCCACATCGCAAGGCCCGCCCTCACGGCGCTTGGACCCCCACAAGTGACGACTTGACACTGTATGCGCAACTGCGGAACCCCAACACTGTTCCTGTGCACGACGACTCTTCTCTGTCGTTGTACCCACCTGCACGATCGGACTGGCTCCATGGTTCCCTGTGAACCCGCACCTTCCTCATTGCTTTCTCTTCATCTTGCTCCCGTTTCATAACCAGCACACTAGCTCACAGGCCTGCACATTGGACCCTCACTCTTCCCTGTTCACTTCTCCTGACTGCTGCACCTATTGCTCGATTGCTTCCTTGTAGTACGTTGAGTTGAGTCCTGGAAGGTTGGGGGTGTTATGGCCAGCGTTGCGTGCAGTCGGGTAGGGGTCAAAGCTGGGGGGTGTTTGCATTCCACGATTGACCGGAGTTTGGAGATAGAGGTATATGATTGTTTGCCGAATTGTGCATTTTGGTTGATGTTTCGGTGTATGTATGAAGATTTTATTTTGGCGAAGGATTGATCCGATGAATTCCTGCCATCGGATGTTGTTGCGTGGGAGAAATGATGGAATATTGATTTATTTATATTTTTTGGGGAATTCTTTGGAATTGATGGTGTTGATCGCAGCGTCCGGTGTGCTTGCTGCGATCGGAGGCCGGCAAGAGATTCTTCTTTTGATCGTGGTGGAAATAGTGCAGTTGGAATGCACTGTTTGTCGTGTTTTTGTTGAAGCTTGATTCGGGCTAGGGTTTACTGATCGGGCTTAGCCCTTTTCTTTCCATCTCTCCAGCTTGCGGTATGGTTGTAAAGAATGAGAAAGGCATAGATTAAAATATAAACTTTGACGTTTAGAGTATGGAAATAATTCTCTCTAGCCTTGAATGTTGCATCGCAGGATGAGAGGCGGAGCATAAATGTACCTCAGCTGAACAATTTTGCAGTGTCCGGGTTGAAGGCGACAGGGTTGAGGACGAGCAGGTGGAAGGTTTGTGAGACAGGGAAGGGTGTTAGAGGTCAGAGGCTTCGGGGAGGAGTAATCAAGATGGCGATCGCCGATTCTCCAGCGTGGAATAAGTATCAGGAGCAGGAACAGGAGCCTGAGCATGTGAGCAGGAAGGCGATCTCCGATTCCCTTGCGTGGAAGCAGCTGCAGCAGCACATGAGCGAAATTAAGAAGACACACTTGCGAGAGCTAATGAAGGACGAGCAGCGGTGCAAGAGCATGATCAAGGAGGTGGACGGCATCGTGGTGGACTACAGCAGGCAGCGCGCTACCTTGGAGACGGTGGAGAAATTGCTGTCTCTTGCGGAGGAGGCGAAGCTGTCCGAGAAGATCAATGCCATGTGGAGCGGCAAACATATCAACGCTACAGAAGATCGTGCCGTCTTGCACGTCGCCCTGCGCGCTCCGCGCGATGCCGAGATTATGTGCGATGGGAAGAACGTGGTTCCCGAGGTCTGGGGTACCTTGGACAAGATCAAGGATTTTTCTGAGCGGGTGCGGAGCGGGAAATGGATCGGCGCCACCGGAAAGGTGCTCACGGACGTCGTGGCGATCGGGATTGGCGGAAGCTTCCTGGGTCCATTGTTTGTGCACAACGCCTTAGAAACAGAACCCGCATGTGAAGAACTGGCCAAGGGCCGATCGCTGCGGTTCTTGTCGAACGTGGATCCTGTGGACGCCTCCATCGCGCTCAAGGGTCTCGACCCGGAGACCACCCTCGTGGTAGTGGTGTCGAAAACGTTCACAACAGCTGAGACCATGTTGAATGCTCGCACGTGCAGAGCATGGATTACGTCGAAGCTCGGGGTTGATGCGGTGTCCAAGCACATGGTTGCAGTGAGCACTAACTTAAAGCTGGTGGAGGAATTCGGAATCGACCCTAAGAATGCGTTCGCTTTCTGGGACTGGGTGGGCGGGCGGTACAGTGTCACGAGCGCCGTTGGTGTCTTGCCCCTTTCTTTACAATACGGATTTGACAAAGTGGAGGAGTTTTTAAAAGGTACGTGGAGTATGGATGAGCATTTCCGCAACACGCCGTTGAAGAGCAATATTCCGGTTCTTCTCGGGTTGCTCAGTGTGTGGAATGTGACCTTCCTCGGCTGTCCTGCCCGCGCGATACTCCCTTACTCGCAAGCGCTTCAGAAGCTGGCGCCCCACATCCAGCAAGTGAGCATGGAAAGCAATGGCAAGGGCGTGGCAATTGATGGCAGCCCGCTCCCATTTGAGGCCGGCGAGATTGAGTTCGGGGAGCCCGGAACCAATGGCCAGCACAGCTTCTACCAGCTAATTCACCAAGGACGCGTCGTCCCATGCGACTTTATCGGCGCGGTGAAGAGCCAGAAATCAGTCTACATGGTGGGAGAGAAGGTTTCCAACCATGACGAGCTCATGTCCAACTTCTTCGCGCAAGCAGACGCGCTCGCAAACGGCAAGTCATCCGAAGATCTCAAAGCCGAAGGAGTGCCCGCATCTCTCGTCCCTCACAAAGTCTTCACCGGCAACCGCCCGTCTTTGAGCATCCTCCTCCCAAATGTGGACGCCTTCACCGTTGGGCAGCTTCTCTCCCTTTACGAGAACCGCATCGCAGTGCAGGGATTCATTTGGAATGTGAACTCCTTCGACCAGTGGGGCGTTGAGCTCGGCAAGAGCCTGGCCTCTCGCGTGAGGTCACAGCTCAATGCAGCCCGCACGAAGGAAGCTGCTGTGGAGGGCTTCAACTACAGCACCACGTTCCTTCTTCAGCATTACTTGAAGGGGAAGACGCCGGTGCAAAGCTCCAACCTTGTCAATTTATTTCCCAGCGAGATTTTCCCTGCTGCTTAGATTAGAAATCCAGTTCCTTTACCTTGCCATTCCGCGTTCACTTTACGTCGGAGGCGGACGTGTACATGAGACAGAAGGTTGCTCGACGTTGCCAGGTTTTTGGTAGTTTCTGTTAGTTGCAGAGACAATGTAAAAAAGGTGGGAAGAGACTATGGGCGATTCTTATGGTTTCGTGCTTGTTATAGTATATGAAGGTATTACATACGTCACTTACTTTGTTACATCTTCTGTCTATTGCCTGGTGATTGATTGTTGCTTTCTAGCCTTTTAACATGGTGTTGATCTAAATTCATCTGTGAGAGGCTTGTGCCTTGTTGTGTTCAAATGCTCCATTTCTGCGAAGTAGAATCACCTCGGCAGTTTAAACCTTCAAACATGTGTGCTTATGTTATACTACTTCCGTCTACATTTTTGCTACGATTCATTTGTTTAACCAATATGTAACTCCATTTGCTTTTGTTCTGTGTGTTTTTATTGTAATGCATGGTAGACGTTCCAACTGAGCTTTGGATTAATGTTTTCATTCACTTTTTGATACAAGAAGGATTCATTAATATTTATTACTTCATTTAATTCAGTGTATATTTCAGTTCATAGTTGGACCATATTAATACATCTACTTCCTCTAAACATGTGCATGATGCAATAAGAGATATTAAGCTTTCAAAAGACGTGGGTTGCTTTAGCACTATCGTTTTTGTTGATGCATTTTATCTATCTTTCAACAAATGAACGGTATTATCAGTTTCTTCACCCACATTTGAATTTTTAATGTAAATGATTATTGAAATTTAAAAACTAAGTAAACATGGAATGACATTTTATTTTTAACATGAGGTAGATTTTAAAATCATTTATACAATTTAATTGTAATGTTAAAACAATATATCTATTTATAAATATATCTATATATTCTAGTCGAACTCTGTGCATTTGGGCACAAAAATCTCTTTACAGATAGTAAACTTGAGGTCTTTCTTTATGTTATGTAGAACTTTTTGCTAATCAACAATTTCTTTAACTTTGAACAACAAGAAGGCTTTGTTATCTCTTTGTCTTATACCTAAGCTTCCTTATTATAAAAATATACGTATAATGTTTTCCATTAATTAATATCATCTATTGCAGTAAAAATATTAACTATCAAAAGATTTTAATTATCAAAGGTGGCATACTGAAAGCATAATGACAATCATCTTTACAAGGGCCTTCCTATCAATCATCTTTACAAAGGCCTTCCTATCTAGGTTGCTTGCTTCCACTTTTGCGTCTATGTGGCCCTACTGGCCATGTGGCCATTTTTTTTATTAGATATTGGAAATTAATTAGATATTAGAAATTAGAGTTTCTTAGTTGTGCACTATAGAACATAGTCAGTTTCTAAAATTTTGATTAATTATGGAAATTAATTAGTTTTAGAGGATTAATTATTATGGAGAATATTATATATATATATATATATATATATATGTATTTATGTATATAAAATTTAAACTTAGTTTTTATTATATTTTAAATAAATCATAAAATATATTTCTTTCTAATTAAGTATTTTTAAAATTTAAAATTTAAAATTATACCTATAAGATATCTTTAAATGTATTTAATTAAATAATAAAAATAATATAATTTGATTTAAGCTAATATATTAAAATAAAAAATAGTATGATTTTTTTAATTTTTATTATATTTGATTTATAGTCTTATTATGCATATGATCAAAATTTATTTTTTTAGTTCAATAATTTTTTATTAGCCATATGTATATATATATATATTAATTTTATTACTTAATAATATAACTAATCACTTGTTTGATTAATAATTAAAAAAATGTATCATTTAGGAATTTGTGCTATTATATTTTTAAGCTTTCAAGTTTTTGTCATAATTAATTTTGAAATTTTTGCTATTAAAATATTAAAACTTCATGTTTCTAATTAATTATAGTATTGAATTATACTTATTTTTAAAATATGAAAGTATATATTTTATTTATTTATAATTTACTTCAATAATATCATACCAATTTTTGCAAATAACAACTTTTCAATCTTATCAATTGTTTATCATTAATAACTATAAATATAAATTTTACTTGTAAAAATAGTATTTGATTTTCTATTTTTATATTTTTTTTCTAATGTGTTTTTATAATATAAAATTTAAAAATATACAAATTAACTAATGAAAATATAAATTAAAGATGAAATCAAATCTTAGATCAAATACAATTACAAGCCTAAATGAATTTAGAGCCACTAAAAATAAGACTCTGAAGTTTAAAAATTGAGATAGATGTATTTTTTAAATGGTTTATTATCTACATGAACAATTTAGGTGTACTTGCATTAGGAATAAAAGAGTAACAAATGCAACCCTTTAGAGGATCAAGGACCTAAGATAAGATAGTGTAACTAACATTAAGAACTGTAGAATTAATGTGGATGTAATGAAAAACAATTGTATGTGTTTGAATCAAAGATCCCACCAATATAGAAGATGGTTCTCATAAAGAACTCTCAAATAATAACAACTTAAAAAAAAAAATACTATTTTTTGAAAATTCTAAAAAAAAGATAAATATGCCCATGTGGCTTTGTTCCACAAAAAAATTCAAAATTTTTTTAAATGCATTAATGCATAAAAATGAATAATAAAAAAGAAATAAAGTTCATGTGTGAATTATTTGTGTAGGATGTAACACTCTGCCTGGCCGACAACATTCATATAAGAATCAAGTTTAGAAAATTGCTCAAGTCACGAAAGCATGGAAGAAGCTCGATGCGCTAGAACAATGTTCCCATGCAAGGGAACATCGAAAGGGGAGGGGGTGAATGGAGTGTGTGAAAGGGAACAGGATAACGTTCAGGCGGGGACACGATCCATGTCCCCGCCTGATGGAAGCTGCTCAGGACGAACACGTGGCTATAGCCCACCACCACACGTCCAGGCTCCGCACCCAATCCCGCCATCCATATTTGCAAGCTCCTTATCATCCAAAAGCAAACTTAACATCTACATTCATCTTCATTTCGCGGGCTCAATATCCAGATTAATCATCCAAAAGCAGGCACAACACACAATGCGGTTATTCAAAAAGCAATAGTCTCCATTAGTGGCGCTTCATGTGAGGGGGAAATTTTTTTGTATCCCGCCACATTCATCCATAGGGCTCATAATACTGACGAAGCCGATGAAAATGAGGCGTGCACGTGGACGACGTCCGTCCCAATGCGTCACCACCTCCTGTTCTCTACCACACAAGCAATTAATCGCTGTGGGCTTCTCGTAGCAGACGAAGACAGCTTCCAGTTCCGCAGCTTCGTCTCTAGCTATGGCGGTGTCGTCGTCCCTCTCTGCTGTTCTCGTGCCCTCGCTGGTCGCATGCTCGTCGGCAGGCCTTCAATTTTCCTCCAAATCCAGTGTCAATGTCCATTCCTTCGCCCGAGGTGAGATTCTCGGAAACGGGCTAAATGTTTCAGTAGCTGCTGCACGCCCGCAGTCGTCTGCCGCTTCCACTCGGCTCTCGTCTGTCGCTCCTACGTGCAAGGTGCGAGATAATGCAATGTATCGACACTGTTCTCGAGATTGATTCATGTGGTCTGAGTGCTAAGCATAGGTGCCTTCTTGTTAGATAAGAATAGGAGTGGCTATTCTGATTCCGAAGCTATCGTCCACTGTTGAGACTCATGGTTCTTCTTAATGTAAGTTTAATAAAAATCAATGTTATAGATGTTTGGGGAAGTATTCCTGATCTTGCAACAACCATACACATGGTTTTTGTTTCGTGATGTAGCGTTCTTGTAGCGTCGTAACTTGAACTCGTCCGACCATTGGGAGCTTATTATGTGGTTCGATACGAAGACTTGTATATAATGAGTTACTCAGATGGTTCTTAACTTCAGCTGGATGGCTCGCTTTCGTTTTCATAGACGAATTTGGTGTGGGGAGGTACGATAACTCGTGGCTGACACTCAGAATTGTCTGCGTTTATGTCCAGCTGGCCGTGGGTGACCCCTTACCTCCACTATCTTTGAAAGACCAAGACGGTCGCGAGATCAAGCTCTCCAAGTTCAGGGGCCGACCTCTGATTCTGTACTTCTATCCTGCCAACGAGACTCCTGGCTGTACGAAACAGGTGTTAATTACATTCCTCCGTCTTTTAACTACTAACATTGTCTGCCTGAAACAGTTCCCAGGAAAAGAAGAGAGAACACTATACAGTACATTTTATAAATGCTTCTGAGAGCAAATGCTAAGTCGTTCTTAGTCTTCAAGACTGATTCCTTATGTAAAGGTAGATGCATGATAAAGTGTACATCTTGATTTCATAAGAATCGGAAATCTTTTTCAGCCTCATTCCAGATACCTGTAGTTTTACTAGTTGATTAGGCTTAACGTTCTTTGCTTGTATCGTCAATGCATCCAGGCTTGCTCCTTCCGAGACTCCTATGAGGACTACAGGAAGCTTGGTGCGACCGTTGTCGGAGTTAGCGGAGACTCTCCTGAGTCTCACAAGGTGCGTTTCCTATTTCTGGACAATCCTCATGGTCATATTTGGTTGAATTTCATAGTTTATCGTCGTGGTAACCATGTTGAAATAATTTTTGTCTTCGGTTTCTCTGACACTTATCAGTACTATGATTCTCATCGCTAAGTGATTGCGATGCAGGCTTTCAAGGCAAAGTACAACCTCCCTTACACGCTTCTCAGCGATGAAGGCAACAAAGTAAGGAAGGCATTCGGTGTGCCAGCTGATTTCTTCGGCGCTCTGGCTGGGCGACAAACTTACGTAGTGAACAGGCAGGGGATCATCACCCTGATTTACAACAACCAATTCCAGCCGGAGAAGCATGTCCCGGAGACTCTTAAAGTATTGCAAGCTTAGTTACGTTATGTAGATTTTGATCTTTGTACTCATGTGGGAGATCATGTATAGTCATTCTGTATTTAGCGTATGGAGTATGATTCTGTGCATCAATCGAATGCAGGAGCCTCTGAACATCGTACAACGGCATTCCACATGCAAAGCCTAGTTTGAAATCCATTTTGTTTTTTTTTTTCAACCAAAGTTTGTCTACTTCTGTTGTATGAAGAGATTTTGCTGTGTCGCTGAGTGTCGGTCATCACTTCTGGAGAACAGTACTCTATCTTCAGAACTAACCTGGGTAATCGTCGCTGTGTTGCGTTTCTGCAGGCTAACCCTCCACAGATTATGGATATGCCTAGCTCATTTCGAAAAATAAAATTGTGATCAATGTCATGGCAACTTGGATCATGTGATTGGAAATGAGCGATCTTAGTGCCAACACGACCAGGTGCTGTGCTGAAATGCGCTTGGGAGGGTGTCAAAGGAGGTTTGTCGGAAAACAATGTGTCTACGACACAAATTTGCCATTCCACTAGAAATATGCACAATCTTAATCTATAGCTTGAGCTGTCATCTCCATTCAGGCCCAGAAGGACGATTACGTTTAATAAGAAAAATTTATTTGTAATATATCCAAAGTGATTAAAAGGCAACAAATTTAATTAACTATGCAAAAGTATAAAGGTACTATTTTTAAAATTGAAAATTGCAATAAAAACATTTAACTTATTAACACGACTTTAAATATTGATTTTTTCTTTGCTATATCTTCAAATAATTCAAATGCTATTAATTGAAATTTAATTTTCCTTACAATCTATGATCATAATTGATATAATTTATCAACTTTACATACAATCCAATTCCAAGAATACTAATAAAGTCACAAGTTTTTTTAATAGGTTATTTCTATATTATATATTTTTTGAAATATTTATTTTTCTTTTTGAATAACAGTTAGATTTTATGTGAAAAGTTAAATGATATTACTTAAAAATAATAATATACAAGTTGTAAGTATTTTTTAAAAAATAGTTTGACTATGCTCTTGTCTTTTTTAAGTTTAATTTGTAAAGCTTGTAATAATTCTCTAATCTGTAATTTTAAAATTTAGAAGATTAAACTTTTAATGTCTATTATTTTTTCTATTTGTAGGATATTAGAAATAGAAGAAACATGACTACTACTACCAATGATCTTTCTTTTCTAATACCTTAGAAATTGTATGATTCTAAAGTTTGCTTAATTTCTTTTATTATTATTGTACAGAATTGTTGCTTTTATTTTCCTCACTTTTTATTGGATATGATTTTGACCTTCCATATCTCTTTAATAATATAAGTCTATTTGTAAAAAATAATTTTTTTCTATTAAACTTAACAAACATCAATTAATAATTTATATCATTATATTTTATATATTTAAAAATTTATTACCAAATTACCTTCTATAAAATTCACTTTTTTTATGTACAAAAGGTAAATATTCTAAAAAATACTATTCTTTAATTCATAACACATCTTAAATTTTTTTAACTTTTATTATCAAAAAATAATGATTAATTCCAAAGACTATAAAGAACATAAATTACAACAAAAATCTAAAGAAACAATATACTTTTGTGACACTAAAAGAAAAAGAGTAGATAAATCAAAGATAGATATAAGATAGAAACTAAAATGACTATTGACAAAGACAAAGAGATTAGAGATTCTTGAGCTAAGCTAAGAATACAAAAAAAGGCATTGATAAAAATAAAGAAAACCTCACTATTGCATCTATATATATTATCTAACTAAGGAACTATTTGGCAACATTTTATTAGTCATCCAACATATATCTAACTTATAGGATATGTGTCCAATATTTAAAGTAAGACTTTTACATATATGCTATATTGCTAACTTGTACCATAAGAGGTCAACATATGCAATAAGTGGGCAACTTGTTGGCCAAATTTTCAATCTATAAATCACCTACAAACACTTGTAAAATCAAATCTGTACCTACTAAGCTTCTAAGAACCTTTACCATAAGATATTATCAAATTTACTTAATTTTACTTATATCTAACTCCTCTTATTTACCTAATTAATAATACCAATGTTGATGTCTATGATATCACTTCTCTCTCTCTTTCTCTCTCTTTCTCCTTTCTCCATCTCTATTCTTTTAGAAACAAGTTTTATAAGGAGTGATAATCACATATTAAAAAATCTAAGATATGGCAATTGTATTAGGCACATACTATGTTATTTATTCTATTCAAAAGTAGTTGATAGTCCTTTCAACTATTGATAGTATCTCATTCTAAAACAAATAGCCTACCTTGCTATTCGATTATTATTAAGGCTTTAGCAACTTCTATCAAACAAAATATTTGAAATACTATTAAAAAATGGTTCTTACTTTTAATAGTATCACCAAATATCAAGAGTATCTTTCCTGGTCATGATACCAAATGCATTATATCGTGCCATCAATTTGACAAAGAATGTGTTATTTGTGAAGGTATTTATTTCTATTGCAACAAATTTGAGGTTGCAAGAATGTAACTAACTTGTCTAATAACTCAACAAAAGATAGTTCTTGAATTAAATCTCTTAGTTGTTAATTCATTATCTTATTTATTCCACAAATATGTAAAAATCACAAATAATAATAGAAGATAGAATACAATCTTTATTAAATATTTATTAAGAATATGAATATCAAAAAACTAAAAGATCAATACACTCTCATATTACTTGAAAAAGTTAAAAAATTACTCAAAGATAGAAAGATATTAAATTAGAATGACTATTACCAAAGACAAGAAGATTAAAAAATCTTGAAATAAGACTAAGCGCAAGAAAGGCATTGATGAGAGTAAAGAAAGCTTCAATTTTACCTCTATATATACTATCTAATTAGAAGCTATAAAGAAACATTAAATAGGACCTTTGAAATGTGTCCAATTTGCAAGACATGTATTTTAACTTACAAAGCAAGTTTCCTAAAAATGTGGCATACATCTTGTTAGTTTGTCGTAACTTGCAAAGAAAGTTTTTTAATACTAGATCCTATGTGCATTCACTAATATCATATTTGTACCATTGAATAAGATATTTTAACCTATTTTGGTGTCACTTTGAGTCTAAGACTCTTCAACCTCATATTCTTGATTAATATCCACTTCTATAAGATAAAGTAGCATTTGTTGTCTTCTTAGTATATCTATTATCTTATATGGCTCAAGAAGAAATAGATGAAATATGGGATGGATCTTTGTAGACTTTGGTAGGTAAAATTAATAAGTAACTAGATTAATCTATTTATATATAAGAAATAGTTAAAGTCTACAATAATCCAATTTGTCACAAAGACAAATTACCTTGATATTACAACAAAGTAACCATACCTTATCACCAACATGGAATTGAGGTTGTTCCTTGCAATAAGCATGCATATTGATCTTTTATCATTCTTGAGCTTCTTTTAGTTGTGCCTTCATTTTTGCATGTAATTCTAAGAAATAATTTTCTAAATCTTTTACTATAAGATTATCAACTTTTGAAAAGTCAAAAGCATTAAATCATGGATGATAACCATAAACAACAAAAAAATACATTTATTGAATAGAAAAATATACCATGTTATCATAAGAAAATTTTACCAATAACAAAAAAAATTGTCGTATCATCTTGTTAGTAGTTGATGATTCACCTCAAATAGTATTCCAAAACTTGATTCACTTACTCTGTTTAGCCATCAATTTGAAGATAGAAAGTTAAAGATAGTTTTATATTTACCTTTAGAATCTAAAAAAAATTTCTTTAAAATCTTGATACAAAATGCATCTCCCTAATCAATATAATATTCTTTGATATTCCATAATAATAATAGATATTTTCAAGAGAAAATTTAATTGTTTCTTTATCTATAATAGATTTTGTACATAATACAAAATGTACCATCTTGGTGAATGGATCTACTGTAATGAATATAGAGTCAAAAGAATTGAAGATTGGAAGATTTGTGATAGAATCCATAGAAATAGAAGTCCATGATTGTTCTAAAATAGGTAATGGCTGAAAAAGTCCATAAGATTGATGACAAAAAATTTTTGATCTTAAAGAAATGTCATATGGTTGTACAAATTTTTTAACTACCTTTCACATTTGAGGCCACCAAAATCTCTAGATATAAGATCCAAAATTTTATTGTATCTAAAATATTTAATTGTTGATAAATGGTGACAAGCTAAAAAAATACATAATTGCACTTTATCTTTTAGAATATATAACTATTTCTTGAGATAGAATATATTTTTTTTGAATTCAAACTTAGAAGTATCTTAAGACTAAAAATAATTATTCTTAATATCATAAAAAGAGGATTAAAGCACATATTCAATTGAATTTTTTTGAGAAATATTAAATAAATAATTAATATTGATTTTATTTCTTAAAGTTGGAAATAGTCTAATTTTAAGAAAAAATTTCTTTTTTGATTAAAAGGTGCATGTCCTTGTTTAATACAAGATAAAAACGTCTAAAAAACCTTATTTTTTGGATTGATAAGTGATCTTTAAATCAAATCTTGATAAAGACAAGTTCCAATGGACTAAGCGATAACTCAAAACATGTGCCAATATGAAGTACTTGAGGTTCTTATGATTTTTATATAGTGTGACTAGATTAAAAGTGCCTTCTTTATAATGACACTATTCTTGAAATAAATCCATAATTACAAAAAATTATTTATTATGGATCTCATAGTTAATCTTAGCTACTAAATATTTTTTTGGAATAAATAGCTATTAGATGGAGCTTGTCATCTACTTCCATTTGTGACAAAATCATACCTATAGTTAAAGCTAATGCATTTGATTTCATAAAAAAAGCCTTAAAAAATATGATAGAAGATTGGTATAAAATTAAATGTTTTGTCTAAGGCTTTAAAAGATGCTTTAGCTTCTTTGCTACACTTAAGTTTGTCTTTACATGTCAAATGTATAAGAGGAGCTATAATTTGAAAAAAAATCTTGATGAAGATCTAATAATAATTAGCAAATCTCAAAAAATATTTCACATCTTTAATTATTTTTCGAATCTTTTAATCTATGATAGTTTCAATCTTCTTAGGATCTATCATAAGGCCATTATTTGAAATAATATATCCTAAGAAATCAACTTGAGTAGTATGAAATATATATTTTA